AGAGTGCTGTCGGACTACTTCCGCGTCACGTGTCTAATACCATTAAAGGTGACGGTCAAAAGTTCCTGTAGTGTATGCCGACAAAAATCACTTAAAACGTTTTGGCCAGGAAGTTACTCAATAACAGAAGAATCCTTGTTTTCTGTCAGATTATGGAGATTTTAGCAGCAGTATTGAACAAAGTGAATGCTTTTTTATGTTCCTGTGATTTTAAAGGTGAGTTCATATTAATTGTATCTAAATCATGTGGGTACTGAGTACATTTGCAATAATAGTTTCGAATTGCTTGACCTGCGAATAATTCCGGGAAAGGGAGCAGTTAATACTTAATGCTGTTTCCTGTTGTAAATGCACACTTGATTAACAGTTAATAATATGTATAATTAGTTGAATTAATAAATTATTAATATGTAATCAACATAATTCATTTTCAGGATGGCTAAATCAATAACCCCATCTACATTTGTCCGGAATCTGAGTTATGGAAAACTCTGCGAATTGTCCGACTTTTTGGATCCTCATGAGAACTGGAAGAAAGTTATTGTCAACATTTATAAACCCACAGGAGAGCCGAGATACACTCAGAATCATTTAAGGTACTTGAATATAAAGGCGTGCAGTGTTAGCGATGCTCGTCTTTCAGCGCTACGGGAATCACAGTGACCAGCAGGGGGCGCGCTTACCGTTACAGTATGGTGTACCAATGTGGCCCAAAGGACGCTCTCGCTTTATTCCTTTTCCTTGAATGCATTTGCCCCAAGAATACTTCTAATTACAAAATATAGGCATAACCTTTGGTAATATTTTTCATTTTTGTTCTGTGCTGTCACTTGCAGGAGGTTTGAAGGATTGGTGGCTTCAGGAAAAAGCCCCACAGTTGAACTTCTGCATGATTGGGGCACCACTAACTGCACAGTGGGTGACTTGGTGGAAATTTTAGAGAAAAACAATCTTCTGGCAGCAGCCGACATTTTGCTCCCAGGTAAGCTGAAATGTTTAAGCAATTTAGGACATCCCAGAGTATGCCATGTGACCTAAGGCATTGACTGTAAAGATTATGACAAATTTCAAACACATTTCATGCGTATTTCCAGTTTACACAAGGTTTTCCACCAATGGTAAGAGGAAGAAAGTGAAGTTCTGAATAACATAAACACAGACATACAGACTCAGGAAAATGCATGAATTCTATTCACTACTGATGCAGTCACCAGGATCCCAGTGTCATGGTCTCCTGTCCCAGGAAGAGAGGAGTCCGCTGAGGTGACAGTCCCCCTCGACATAGTGGAACATCTGCAGATCTCCCAAACCTCTCAAGAGCCGGTGGAAGATGAGGATCAACCCAGTGACTCAGGTATGTAAAAGTCCAGCTCAGATTAATGCTCAGGCACTCTTTAGGCCAGCGATTTTATCACTGCTGTTAATTTGTGGAATTATATGTTTGTGTAGTGAATTGAAGTACATATTAAGGTTTATATTTGATTATGTTCATTTTAAGTTTGTATGTGCCTGAAATGCTAACTGCATTTTTGGACAACATTATCGTGGTTTGCTTCTGAACTGAAATACGAACTTGGAGCTAGTTTCATTGAATGGGGCTATCTGATACTACCAGAAGATGGCAGCACTAACGTTTACGTGACGAGGAGGCATTTTCTCCCACTCCCTGTTGCCTTAACCAGAGCGTCGCCCCTGTTCTGGGCGCCCAGGGTTCCGTGGGTTTTCTTTTCAGGAGCTGCTCCAGATGACCGGGAACTTCAACGACAGGCCTGCACTGGAGGGTGGAAGCAGACTTGGGGCAGGAGGCTTCGGTGTGGTGTATCGGGGCTGCTTCAACGGGGCAGATGTGGCCGTCAAGAAACTGAGCTGTGTGAGTTCCGAAATTCAACACAAGGCGCTGACTCATGCCTCATTTGACTACGTACATTTAGGTCTGAGAAGTAAGCAGTCATTTCTAGCTACTGTAACTATCACATCATAGTCAGACTGGTTGTTTATTAACAGATTACATATCTGTTTATTTTTCTTTGTCAGATGGGTGACATTTCTCCCCAGGAACTGAAAATTCAGTTCAAACAAGAGGTCCAGACTTTGCAGATGTAGGTGGCCATTCCCTTGTTCTGCAAACACAGGTGGCCGTACTCAGATTTGTAGTGGCTTTGGTTTACACGAGAAGCTTTTTTTGTGTTTTCGTTGGTAATATTAAAAGAATAACGGGTTATCCCATCAGAAGCCTCAGAGAGCTAGAAAATGAATAAGTACCATTTTATTAAATGTGATGTGTTAACATCAGTTTATATTCAGTGTTTTTATAAAGTATCTGACATGTCTCAACTCTTCTGTACCAGGTTGAAACACAAGAATATTTTAGACATGGTTGGCTTTTCTTGTGACGGCGACCATCCTTGCCTTGTGTATTCTTACATGTGCAATGGCTCCTTGCTGGACCGACTGGCTTGCCTTGTAAGTGCTGATTTGTTCCTCCGTGTTGACCAGTCACCTAGTGAACATGAGTGTAGTGCAGCTTACTCCCTTATAATAAATAAAAATACTCTTAGCAAGTACTTAGTATGGTGAAGCAACATGTCCTGTTTGCAAAAACTGTGCATCACCTGCTTCCAAATTCTGTCTAAATGTCCACCGCAGGGTGGGAGTTCTCCTCTTTCCTGGACTAGAAGGTGTCTGATTACCATAGGAACAGCGAGAGGCCTGGAATATCTACACCATAACCATCACATTCACAGAGATGTGAAGAGGTACTTACTAATCTTGGCCAAAACAATTAACTGTGGTGATTGTGGTCAGGTCTGCTTTCCCTATGTATGTGTTTTGGTGTGTAATTTGCATTAGAATACAGTGTCTGTAATCGACTGTTTCATAAGCATACAGCCTGGATCCTATCTGTTACCTACTTACTCAACATTACTGATTCACTTGCATCTTTTAAGTCAGCAGTGGGCAATCTTGTCCACAAAGGGCCGTTGTGTTTGCAGGTTTTTGGGATGACCTTTAGGTCAGCTGTTCAGACCCAGGTGTGAGGATCAGCCAATCAGTCCTAAAATTAGTAATTTATTAGGGAGTTATGGCAAAAACCTGCACACAGTAACCCACATACCCAATGGCCCTTTCTTGATGATTGCTGGGATTGATGTTTCTTTGTTACGACCCGCCCATAACTGCCCTGCCTTGCTCTGCAAGTTCAGTACCTGATATATGATCCTGACTGGCCTATGGATGCAGCGTTTATTGTAAGCCTCCACTGCAAACACACAGGTGTGAGCTGCTGTCCTTGCAATATTCTGGTACATTTCACAACCAAACAGGACCGCTGATGACGCTGCAATGTGTACCAGTTACACCTGCAGTATTTGATCATAGATTCAGCAGAAAAGAGCTTGTACTGAAGCAGTAGCCGTTTCAGCAGTAGAACATCTGCCCTGCTCCACTCCACAGTGGGAACATCTTGCTGGACGAGACGTTCGAGGCAAAGCTCTCAGACTTTGGGTTGACGCGGAATTCTTCCAAGCACAGCTCCTCCACGGTGCTGACTGAGAAGATCGTGGGAACCACAGCTTATATGGCACCCGAGGCTTTGAGGGGGGAGATCACGCCCAAGTCCGACATCTTCAGCCTGGGCGTGGTACCTTTCCTTCTTTCATCAGAAGCAGAAGTGTTTCATTGACTAAGGGTCTCTCCTACTTCCAGTACATTTCTAATGGAACAGTCAGTCTCTTGCTCTGATTGTGGGTCACCTTGCTGGCAGGTGCTGTTAGAGGTGATCTCTGGACTCCCTCCGGCTGATGACACTCGCCAACCACATCTTCTTGTAAGTATACAGATGTCTTCTCCTCTGCTTTCATAATTCCTGCCTTCCATTCTTGGTAAGAGAGGCATGTAACATAAACTCAAGCTTAAATACACAATAGTCAGTGATACATTACTAGTGCTCCTCTACACAGCTTTCGGAGTATTGACACCATATTTGTTGAATTTACTAACTCTTCGTCACAGATGGAAATGAAAGACGAAATAGAGGATGAGGAAATGACACTTGAGGACTTTGTGGACAAGAAGATGGGACCCTGTGACCAAACAGCAGTGGAAAAGATGTACTCGCTGTCCAAGAAGTGTCTTAATGAGAGGAAGAACAGGCGTCCTCAAATAAAGGAGGTATGTGCCTCAGTATGGTCACAGAACGTGAGGCCTCCACAGAACCACCCTGCTGACGACTTTCAGGTGCTCATGCTCCAAGGCACATGCAAGACAAATAAGAGCCGGCTATAATGTTCTCCATTGTAATGTCCTCAAATGGTAACAGAAAGGAGGGTGGCACGATCTAGATCGACCTAGAAGGGCGCACCTTAGTATTGAATATTTTGATTCTGCTGGTTGAGATATGTTAAGGCCCTGCGATGGACTGGCATCCCGTTCAGGGTGTTTACCTGTCTTGGGATCCAGGCCCAATGACCCTGATTAGGATAAACAGTCGGAAGATGGGCTGGTGGAAGGAGAAGCTTTGCCAGTAAAATCTCACAGTGACCACTTATGGTTATTCATGCATAATTTTACTTGCTCATTTCAAGGCACAGAAACATTGAATTTTACCCACACTGACATTCCTGACTTCACAACCATTACAATGCACACAAGTTTCCTCTCTCTGTTAGGTGCTGATGGAGCTCGAAAATGCCCTCACAACATTCCCGCTGGGGCAGCAGAGCAAAGAGTAAAGGGTAACAGCCAAGTCAGATGGCAGCAGACACCACATCCCACCCCGAAGACATTAGCAGCAGTGAAACATTATGAAGATTCATTTCCTTTAACCAAATAAAGTGGATTTTCCTACCAAAGTAACTGTTTCACTGTCTTGTGGTATTTCTGCATAGTCTGCAGTAGTACAGGGAAAGCAGGGATGGTCCAGTACTAAGGATTAACAGGAGGAAGTGACAATATTAGGAACACGTCCTGACCAAATAAAAGTTTTATATACACCTGTGAGATATGATTTAAATTATTTATTCGTTTCCTTAAAACAAATTGATTTTAGGAGGAAAATACACATTTGAGACTGATTCCTGACAATACCACGTAAATCCATAAGGTAGCAGCTTCATCTAACAGAGTGGTTTTTTGAGACGGTAGACAAAGCGTTTCCTCAGCGGATCTTTCCAGCCGGGGCAGGGCTATGTGCCCCCCCCACCCCCCGCAGCACAGGGGAGGACGTAGAGACAGCCTGCATGCTTACTGCATGTTACACGCAGGAGACAGCTAAAAAGAACAGACTCCCTCTCCACCACGAGTATGGTCACTGAGGTCACGTGACAGAAGGAGCAACAGACAGGACACGTGGGCCACGGTATCACCCCCCCCCCACACTAAACACACAGTAAAATGGGGGCAGCTGCATGTAATTTTATGTTATTTATTTTTGTTTTTTTTTCCCTTTCTTATTTACAGCCTTTTAATCTATCATAAAAACAGGATGGTCCCGTTTGTAGAAAAAAAAATGACAAAATGACATTGGTCGAGGGCTGCCCTCAGCCTGACGTGAAGATAAACGCTCCTGTTACATCTCAAAGCCGTAAAAATATGGCATTTCCTGTCTTAGCTCTACAATGAATGCATTGTTATTCTATTTCATGTGTATCTTATTCGATGTACGTTCCTTATAGCAACCTGCAAGTAGAAATTCACGTTTGATTAGGCCTAGTTTATCATCTGTGTGCATAGATCAATCTCAAGTGGACTTTGAGGATTTCATAAAGGGAATATAGGGGTTGCTTTAATTTCAAAAATGTCTTACACTATTTGGAATGTTCCAATGTGAACCATTATGGAGGGGTGATCAGTCTTCGTCCTCGCCTTCCCCTGGACCTCGAATCATCCTACGTTGGCCTCTTTTTCCAGCGGGACCCTTAGGTTTGGCGAAGGCCTGCTTGTGCGCATGCTGCTTGGGATGGACCTCCTCATACAGGAAGTCATTGGTCAGCTCATCACCGCTTTCAATCTCCAGCTGAGAGAGAGCCAGATCAGCAACGTCAACTCTTTTGGAGGCAGACGAATGATGCATGACGCAAAGTCAATTCTACGCTGTTGGATGAGCCCACGATTATGCTACTGAGTACTCATTTCCAAAAGATGTATTGTGTCAGCTTATTAACTGTTTTAAGTTGTACAAAGAAATCGTTTTTGTTAAGTAATCCTGTTGCCACATCCTTACCTTCTTCGCTATTTCGATGTGAAGGCTGTTTTCCACCATGTCGATTAGCGGGTTCTTGCAGCTGGAGTAGAGCATTCTCTCTCTGATGCTGCACTTGTAGCCAGGCATGGAGTACATGAAGACTGCAACATTCAGACATGAGATCAGGTCAAAAGAGCAGCCCTGCCAAGCATCACAGCTTCCGAGCAAAATCCTGTGTGGCCAACCCAAGAGGCGGACTTTGGACAACCGCCTCCCATCCCTGAGTGCAAAGACAGTTGTCCTATTGCCATGACAGCACAAACAGGTATTTTGGAAAACAAAAACTTCACTATAGGGGGCATCACTTGTGCCAGAATGGAATAAGCACCAAATCCGCAAACAAATTCTGAATGCCTTGTTCCACAGCTATTCGCTAAGCCGTTGAGGTCGACCCGTTTTACCTGTGGATTCCAAGTAGTCTCCCTCGTGGGAATGCTTGTACAGGAAGAAATGGTAGCGGGCTGAATCTTTGGGAATTCTTTTCGGCAGGTCTTTGACCTCCGTGGGAGCCGTGCTGGACAGATTTATGCTCTCCTTTTGAAAATCGATTTCCTGTTGGGGAAAAAAATAAGCGACACCCTCCGGTAAAGAGAAATTATGTTTTCGTGAAACATATTCAGGCTTAACAGCAAAAAGCAGTCACTTCAAACGGGAAAGTCACCATTAGGCTTCGCCAGACACGCTCTCTGCTGACCAGATGTTACCCATCTGCCTGAAAAGCACTTTAATGCCACATTCTAAAAATAAGCCTGCCATGGGGGTTGGGGGGCACTGTGGGCCATTTAATGTTCTACCAAAAAAAAGAAAAAAGCGCAGGAAATAAAGCCAGCATTAAACTAGGTGTTGCAGGCGACACAGATTCTTGGTCCACTCGTGTAAAGTCACCTATCACTTCAAAGCCCAGTCACACTGCACTAGCCAATCACATTCCCCTCCATGCTCCACTGGCCAATCACATTTCCCCTCATGCTCCTCTGGCCAATCACATTCCCCCCATATTCCTCTAGGGCAGAGGTCACTAACAGGAGGACCGCGGTCCGGGTCCGGACCCAGAAGCTGCCCCATACGGACCGATAGCCAAAACATTAAGTTATGATTTAAATCCTGATGGGGCGGTTCTATTTTATCCGGAGCAGCTTTTGTAGTCTTTTTGGTAGTGGTTTAGCACTAGAACCGCCGTTTCCCACGTCAATGAACATCAAACGCCTTTAACCACCAAGCATGACCTGGTCTGGCTTATGCAGCCCTTTGTCTGAGCTAATGTGCCATAGGTGTTAATAGCAGCAGCGAAGCTAAAACCCGCAACCAAAATACCGTAATGTTCCTAACAGAGTGGCTGATCTGTCCTGAAATTGTAAAGCTGAAAAATTTTCAAACACAGTGACAGAATGTATTATATAACATGTTGGATAAACAGACGTAGTTTATTGGTGATTTCAGGTTCGTTGAAGCTTCCGTAATGTTTCATACAACCAATAGGCTACTTTTGTATATATATTTCACTAAATAGTTAGACATTATGATCTTCTGGACCTTTGCTTCAAGAAATTTTTTCTAACTGGACCTCTTTAAATTTTAGTTGAATACCCCTGCTGTAGCGGCATGGCTGGCACTGATTGCAGTTTGCAGAAACTGAGAGGATCTGGGTTTTCCTTACAAGTTGGACATAGTTGAACTTCTTCTCCTTGAACTGCTCCAGAGCATGAACAGCTTCCCGGTCCATGGGGAAGGCCACACCCTGCAGGGTCTGCTGTTTGGTGTCCACGCTGATGTCTGTCTGCACCTAAGAGTGAGGATGCCAAACATAACTAAGCTGTCACGGGTCAGAAAGAACTGGAAAATAAATATAGAGAAGCACTTCTGAAAGTGGCTCGCTGGTGATTACGCAGTAAAAGCAGAAGGTCAGTGTTTTTTGAGACGCCACACGCTCACAGAAGAGAGCGGGTGGCACTAGAAGCTGCTGGGGTATCTTCCACGGGTACGACTGCATAAGATCTGCAAGTGGAACACAAATGGCTGCTTGCGAGAGCAATGTCTGCTCGGCTGGTGGGCATTTCAGGAGGTGAAACAGAGCAATGTGGCAATGACCCAGAAGCTCGTCTTCCTCATGTAGCTGCCACACGACCCAAAACTCATCCTCCTCATTCCCATCTGCTTGCTAAACACAATGCCTCCCAGCTAAAAGTACGACACACATCCCAAATCTTTTCCTCCTGATCTACAGCAGCTGCTGACTGCAGGGGAAATGCAAACACAGCTTCCTGTTATAAACATTTTTTTTTTAAAACAGAAGGCGTGTCTACTAATCAACTTGGCTATTTCCTTTTATGGAGTGAATGAATACAGTGAATGATCTAAATTTATCCTAGTGCACACATATATTCCCATGCTTGCAGATCTACTGTATAATCGCACACAGGTACAAACAACTGATGCCCCTCCATGATGGCAAACCTTGAATGGATCTGCTTCAAGAATCTATTTGACAAGAAATTTCAGGTAGCAATGGGACACAGATTAAGGAAATTGAAACCTACAGACAAAAAGGCTGCTGGCATAAATCACTGCTTCTGAACAATTCGTTTTCCTATCTCGGTTACATGAAAATGCTAACCAAATAATGACGTAACATCACAAATCCTCCAATCAGAACATGGCGCTGACACCTGATGGGTACACATGTAAATCCCAAGCAGTGATACTGCAGTGATACTCAACTGTCACAATGAAAAGTAGCCTGTTTAAACATGGGTGTCGCTTAGTTTTTGGGGTAAACCAGCCTTTATTTTAACCCAGTTCCAATGTGCTTCCTGTTTATGACACACACAAGCTGCCCAGAACCGGTTAATTCTGAAAAGCCTTTCACTCAAACCAGCATCAGCAATCTTTACCGTGATTGATCATAACCTGGCTGCCAATGCTGACCTTGGCCTATTCTGCAAGCCAAAGTGCCAATACCTCTGAATCAGCGAAATGAACAGCTTTAACAATCATCTAGAAGCTCTGCTAGGAAGGACGGCGCATGAGACAGAGGATAACCTAAACGGGATGCCTGGCTGTCACAGAGCAAACCCTTACATACAAAATCAGACATTTAGGTTTAACTACTAAACGTTTATGAGAGAAAGGGACTAAATGTTCAACTTTAAGCGCACAAGTTAGTGTGTTATTACATACATGTAAGCAAGCAAGTTAGTGTGTGATTATATATGGGGAACAGTAGTAGTGTGTTGAACCAAGTATGTTTGTGAATGTCTTTGTGTGAGAATATGAACGAATAAGTATCTGGAGAACAGGCAGTGAGCAACGAGTGTACCGGTGTGGCATCAGAGCATACAGAGGGTGACGGGCTACCTCGCTGAGTTTGATCTGTCTCAGTTCCTCCTCTGCGGCAGTCAGGGGGAGAGGTGCAGCTTGGGAGGTCAGGTATTTTTTGTACCCGCTCAAAGACAGTTCATCCTGGAAAAGGACCCACGGAAAATTCACAAGAGAACAGAGACATTCCAAAGCCCAAGATGAGAAACTTCACATTATACAGCTGGCGGCCTCTTGTTCTAAGATCCTCCACTCGAATGTTCTAGGTTCTCCCTGGTTCGTGTTAGACTTTTCTCAGCAAAACTTTGTAATTTTAAGGGTTTCTTTTTAGTGGTACCAAAGCAATCCTATGTCAAATGAGTGACAAAGTGACAACGACCAGATACTGCAGATTTTGCCAGTAAAAATTAGGAAAAATTAAGGTGGGTGTATTTTAATTACTCGAAAAGCACTGAACATCATGTGCTTCTTCATCAGTTTAGTCTGGTTGTCATGCACTCAGTTGACATGTTGCTCAGTTAAAAGTTGCAAGTAGTAACCTCACTATTTAAAAATAACATCGGTGTAATGCGCACCTTTACAGTGCCAAAGAGCTCATCTTTAATGTGTCCGCCTCCGAACTCCTTCTTCACTGTGGCCCTGGTAGCAGCGTACAGCATCTTATGTCGAACCTAATGGGCGAGAGACACATTCCCCACATCCGTAAACCTGGAGGCCGACTGCAGTGTTCCTAATTACTGGCACTGGACACAACGCTGAGCTGTCTCTTCCTGGGTAGTAAAAATCAAGCAGTGGACAAGTTTTGCCCTTTAAAATTTTATGCTGTCCTGTCACTGCCAGTCTTCCCCTTTGGGGGAAACTGAACGGCAAATTAGCATCACGGACGCCCGACGCTGAGCTTAAGCAGACAATGCCTCCCTTTCATGTGGTCGTGCAAACAATTGGTTTCCTCAAACCCCTACATAAACATAAGATCCTGGTGTCACAGAGCCAATATAGCAGTCAGAATGACCGATGGCAGTGTGTGGCTCTGCGGGTGAGGCCTCTGTGCCCATGATCGGAAGGTCACCAGTTCAAATCTCCTGGCTGGCAGAGTGATTTCGCTATCGGGCCCTTGTGCAGGGCCCTTGGCTCCCAATTGCTCTGGGGACTGGCTGAACTTGCCTTCTCGATCGTATGTTGCTTCGGAAAGAAGCATCTGCAAAATTAAACAAATATGATCTGAATAACCTGTCCTAATCCTGTAATCTTTCCCCCAATTAACCCTACACAGCAGACTTAGTGCAAATGACAGCAGCATCCAGCTACTGTGAAGTCATCTGCTGCCAAGGAAGAACCTAACAAGCCGTAACTTGCTCCCATCAGCTCCGGACTACGGAATGTTCCGCTTAAGCCGTATGCAGGTTTCTCCGGGCGTTCCTAAGCAACACGTACGGCAGAGTGGTCGGGAGACCAGGACAGGAAGATCCACTCGTATCCCTGGTTGTTGGAGGAGTCTAGCCGGTACAAAATGTAGCACGGAACCCCGTCCTCCAGCAGAGAGAAGACGCAGGAGTCATAGTCCTGGTCCCACTGTTTAGCGGCTTTCTTCGTTCCACCCAGAACCAGTTGTTCTGAAACGAGAGCAGTGGAATCAGTCATAACGCCGCTTTGTGCGTTTCTCAGTCAGCTGTGCCCTTCTTGCAGGGAAGCAGATACAGGACATTAGGAGCAGCTGTAGAAAAATAGCCGCAATCTGCAGTAATAATGTTGGGTGATTGGCTAATTGGTGGAGATGTGCGTGGGCGGGGAGGGGGGTCCTGAAATGGGCGAGGTGGGGGTCCTGAAATGGGCGGGGCCCTGCCTGGCAGGATGAGCAGAAACTCACCGTCCTGGATGACAATCTTCAGGACCCGATAATCGCCGTTCCTCGCCTTCGCGAAAATCTCCTTCACCTCCTCAGCAGCTGTGATGACAGAGTTAAATGGACACATGAAAAGCATTTTTTCTACTTCTTTTTTTCTGGAGTTTACGTGTTCGTCATTTCAGAAAAGTGAACTACACTGAGCCGCATGCAGGATGCACACCTCTTTCTAAACGTGCCAGACCATGCACCAAAGCATAATCATAATCGTTAAACAGTTATAGCATGTCCTAAATTTTATGATTTGCAAGCCTAGTGTCTCAGAAATTGGAAAAAAAATAGTGAATAATCACAATTGAAGACTCTAGTGTTTACAAGCATACTTGTCATTGACAATAAGCACAAGTGTAGGTTAAAACGTTATTGTAAATATGAATATATACAGAAGAGCTCAGATGTTTTAATAACCAAGCTGAGTGCTAAATACTGTTAAGCATCCTAATGTTAAATTAAATGAGCAACCTCATAAAAATTAATGAAGAATCTTTTATACGCTTTCTGACAAACCTGACTCTGACCTAAATATACCGTGAGCTTAATAAGTAAATTATTACAAAATGAAAGACAAAGTCGATATGGCAATGTGACCAGGCGTGCAACTACAGCAAAAATCGACCCTATTTTAAGTGAAGCCCTATCAGATGAAGTTACAGCAAAACTGCAAACGGGATATTTCAGCATAATAGCTTTGCAGACGTTATCTTTTATAGATGAGGGAATTTCATGGGACCCTTCTTTTCATGCTATGGTCATTTTTTTTCAATATCCTCAACATCACGAATATATATTGTATCCTTCTGAGTATAAGCTATGTTTTTTCAATCTGCGAAATCTGATAGTTAAAACAACTGCCGGCTCCTGACGGCCGTCGTTCGCCCCCGCCGACCGTGGTTGCCCCCCGCCGGCCGTCGCTGGCCCCTGACGGCCGTCGCTGGCCCCTGGTCGCCTAGGCGTGTCTGTCTGCTGTCTCGGCTCATTCTTACTGCAGGTGCTGATATTTATCTATATTTAAGACCTTTCTTATAACAATCAGGAAGCTATCTGGCTACAGAAGCATGAGTAGGTCATTACTCACGACTGACCAAGTGACAGATTACCTGTAAATAACTGTACAAAAGCACAAAAGCCAGGATTGCCAATAAAACCCTTTTTACTGCGATACTCCACAGGTTATTAAGGAAAAAGCACACTGGCTGATACTGAAACAACAGGGCTTTCACCCTAAGAGGCAAATTCTGCATGCTCCCAATCCAAACGTTAAGCGATGCAAATCATACGTTTTCATTAGACGAAACTCAAAAACTTGCCATGAACCGTCTAGAAAAAACCGTAAACGCATTTACCTTGAATGCCTGTTTGATGGGACATTGTACTTATTTCCTTTCGAGTCGGCCGCTTTGCTGAACAGGGTCTGAAGACGGAAGAGGGAAATGGGACTACAGTAACCCGACCCGGCTATGCCGTGACGTCACCCCGCTGCCGCGCCCACGCCGCCAGACGTGATCGCGCAGCCCCGCGACACACACGAGCTGCCCCACGTCACCTAGTCACGAGTTTCGACGGCCGCTAGCGATTGGAAGACTTGAGAACAGTGTCATGGACAATCGGGATGAGGAGTTTTTTCACCTCTTATTTTAGATTCGCAAAGCGGAGTCTGACCGAAAAGTCATTTGTAGTACTGTATGATTAGCTGTCAATTAATCATTCTAAAATATTTTACGTGTTTTGTATGTTAAACGTTAAATATTCTGACACCCTAACTAGAAATAGATGCTCTTCCATATTGATCTATTACTTCATCTTGTATTTTTTATTTTATAATAATAATGATTCATTGTATGATACATTGGATACACCGAATCCTGTAAATTGTTGGATTTGTAAGGATGTATCATTTGTAAAGCTGACAATACAAAAAAAAATCATTACATATTAACTATAAAGATAGCCAGAGCACCTGACACAACAGCAATGCCAGCATATCTCCGTTTGGGGTGGCGTAAAAAACATCTACAGCCCTGTCCAGCTGACTCTGTGAAAGAGCTTTGCGTGGTCACTCGAAGCAAAGCTTTATCAATGTCTTCCTGCTAATAAATATACGCCTGAAAGCGACCCCTGTAGCTGGCTATGGGAAACCCTGACGTGTTGGTTCCGTCCCAGTGGACGGATGGTATGAGTCTCTATATCCTGAGATCCCCTGACACACGGCACCGAGGCGCCTAATCTGTGCTGAGTAAGCTGCATCAGCGGAAGCAGCCCGTCCTGGCACTCACATACCCCATCACCGTGGTGGGGAGCAGCTGGGGTTTGCCTCTGCCCTAGGGGACGACGGGTCACATGGATAATCTCCTCATCTCCAAGCATTTGGGTTATTACGGCACCGTCGGCTCCCTTGGTGCGATGAGGCAGCACGGCAGCGAATGGGATCTTTCCAGTGGTCCGGAGGGTGCAGCTTGAGTGGGGAGGGGTGTGCAGCTGGCGCAGAGCAGGTCGGTGTGTGTTTATGTGCGTGCGTGCCCGCGCCTGTGCTCGATCGCGCCGTCCGCACATGGTGCTTCACAAGAGACCGCATTGCCCGCATTGTCCGGCTGGGCGCACAGCATGTGCATGTCAGTCACACACTACCGGGATTCCTGTTTCATTGCCGCCAGCCTAAAGAATCGGTTCGGACGCATTGTTTTTGGGGGAGCGGAGGAGGTGGAGCCACGGCTTTCAAGCAGCCCCCTCCGGCAACGCGAGAAGGCGCCGGTGTAATCCCGAAGAAATGCAGGGAGACAGAGTAGGGCGGCGTGGACGCGCTTCCGGAGAACAGCCACGGTATTCTGCACCCCTCGGAATTACAGAAAACAGTTTGCCTTGGAATAATAAACAAAAGCGGGAGAGTGACATTTTCTGAGCTCCACCCTAATACATTCTATTATTAGACAAAGGATCGGGGCAGATCTTAAGGTGGTTTAAAGTAAATAAGCTATGCCGGCGTGCAAGGCTGAATTTCTGACAGCTTTCGTTATCAACGCCAGTCGGTCGGCGGGGTTTGCTCTATGTAAATCGTCTCTGCTGACGCCCTCCGTGCGGGAATCCGTTCGTGGGATGCCCATAAAGACCGTGAGTCACCATCAAGAAGTATTTCTGCCTGCTTCAGCTTCGTGATCAGTTATGTGTTAAAGCTTCGAGATCATACTACTTGAAATTTCACAGTCCAGACACACATAACTAGTGTTTAGGTAACCTATATTTCTTAGCCGTGGTCTGGCATGTATTCTTGGAAGCAGTAATTTTGGGTCACATGAACGGTTTGGAGCCGTATGGGTGCTAAACGGGTACAACAAGGTTTAAAGTGGAACCCACCACGCTTCCATCCCCCAACCTGTGGTTTAAAAATAAGCCAGGTTTACTTTCTAGCATTGGGGAGAGGAGTAGTTTTCCAAGGGGTATTATAGGGTCTGACGATTTCACGGGGAAACAGTTAGATGGTGGAAGAAGGTCCAACCCCAGAAGATTAGTAGCTCTTAAATTAGCTTTACAGAGCTTTTGAAGAATTTTCCCTTTATGATGAAGAGTAAATGAAAATTACAGGGAGGAGGAACAGTGAATGCTAGCATATCTCTAAGAGTGTATAATTTAAGCTCAGCTTGCTTTTATAAAGCTTGAACCTCAGCCCTTGCCTGTTTTATCTTTTGTAACCTCCCTTAAAATATTGTGGTGATGAAGGGTTTGTTTTTCTGTCCGTCTCGTAGGTGGCCTGAGGCAGAGGTCATTTAGGATGGACATTGACGCCCGTTTCCGCTACTACTTCCAGCATCCATGGGCTCGGCTGTCCGTGGCCAGCCTGGTGACCTTCTTCAACTTCCTCATCTTCGCTGAGGACCCTGTCTCCCACAGCCATACGCAGGCACACATGACTATGGTGGGCAACTGCTTCTCGTTCATTGTGAACAAGTACCCAGGCGGAGGCTGGAATATTGTTAAAGTGCTTCTGTGGCTGGTGGCCATCGTCGTCGGCCTCTTTGTCGGGAAGTTCTTCTTCCACAAACGCATCTTCGGTAAGACCTGTGTGCCCAAGCGAGCGCTTAAACAGATCACGAAAACAGGCGAGGCTCTTCTCAGAACCTCATCTATTTATTCCTAAGACTGACAAAAATCGCAGTATCAAACACAGAAGTAATCCACGTATTGGTGTTCTGGGTCTTAGTTACGCAATGACAAGGATTGGTGGAATCAGGGAGCTTTGTGACACGCCCCCCACCCCCACTGTCACACTGACACATTCTTTTTTCATCCTCTTACTCTGTGAATCAACAGAAGGTCTGTTTAAATGGAGCTGAACAGCTCTGAGCTCTGGTATTTGCTGATGAGTTGCTAATAATGGTAACCTAGGGTGATGTCCCCAAACAATGTTCTATTGCTTAGTGATTATAGCATCTGGTGTCCATGAGCAGCCCAGTATTTCTCTAAAGAAAAGCTTTTTCATGACCTTCAGTTCTTCTGTAGACTCAGGATTTTGTTTTTAATTCTCTTAAAAAGCCTCCCTTCTATCCCATTTACCCTCCGACTGCATCATCAGAACAAACCACCATTTGCAAAAGCGCAGCGTCAGGAGCGGTGGCTGCGTGGGACGTGGTGTGGCGTAAACTGAGCCTTTGTCCAGTCGTAACTTCATTTCGGTGCATTATCAGCCGGCACGCTGTGGTTTCATGCAGCCTGCTCGTGTTTGCTGTACCGGAGGATCGTTCACTGTAGGTCAGCTGTGACCTCCTCCTGCCAGCATCACCTCCCACATCTGACCTTAGCTACAGGAGCGTTTAAAATCCGTGCGGGAGCTCGCAGAGCAGCCGGAAAGCAGCAGGGCGGAGAGGGAGGCCCGGCCAGCTGGTATTGAGAGCACAGGGTCCATGTGGGATTCTGGGGGCCGGGGGCCGCACTGCTGTACCTCGGTTATGTAACACTGCACTGTGGTAACAGGGGCACATGCCTGCACTGCATCCTGAGCAAAAGGACCCTCCACCTCACCGCAGCATCATTTGTGCAAGCAGGGGCGCCGTAAAGGGGGGAAATCTCCGAACTGTGTTGGATGGTGGCCCCCCAGGACTGGACTTGGGGAGCCCTGCTTTAGACTTAAGGCTGACTTATGCTCAGCATAGAATCCACGCCATCAATAGCAACATAGCTATGTACCCTACATTGAATTCTGACACCTTCAGATACATTTGTGGGGGGGTTTGCATCCGGCTATGGCGTAGGCGGCTGCCGACAGCGTAGACTCGGGCTGGAGGGGGGGGGCTCTGCTGTTGCATGTAGGGCTTTTTTGAGGCAGCTTGAGAGGTAAATGTACTGGCAGCTGTATCCCACCAACATGCAGCCTCACAACCTGTATTTTCCCAAGATCTCTGCTCCTCCACTGAAGGCGTTTTGCAGCAATAACAAACCCTAAACCCATCCACCCATTTCCTGTACCTGCTTGCCATTTTATGGGTCACAGGGGGTCTGGAGCCTATGGGCACAAGGCAGGGAACAACCCAGGATGGGCCACCAACCCATCGCAAGGCACACTCAGATGCATATCTATGGGCAATTTAGTAATCGCAGTTGCAGGAAATCAGAGTACCTGGAGGAAACCCCACGACGACATGGGGAGAACATGCAGACTCCACACACATGGAGACTGGGTGGAGACTCGAACCCTGGTCCCAGTGGCATGAGGCATCTGCGCTAACCACAGTGCCACCCCATCCCATAGCTTTGCTTAACATAATGTCACCAATTTTCTTTAAAGATACTTCTAAACAGGAATAACCTGATGGGTAAACCTGTGATGTAATACCATTTATTCTGCTGCTGGGCTGCTGTATGTAAACAAACAGTAATTTCCAAACACGTGGCTGCACTAATGTGATTATACAATAGAAAAACTGCAGAGTCTACCAGCACTATTATGGTTGATGACACTCCCCCTGCCATTAGTGACATGCTTGCTTTCATCCGACGCCCTCACGTGCCGTTCTGTTTGTCCTGCTGTGTTTGGTGTACAGTCTTCCTGTGTGCATCATGGAGCAGATCGCTCTGATAGAAGCAAGGTGATTCAATGGGAGCAATAAAAACGAGGCGAGTTTGTTTTTTTTTCCATAACGTCCAGTTGATGTTTGTTCCTGGACAATCGCTGGCAGTTTGGGCCGCAGCCTTACAGCCGCCTTGGTCTTGATTTCCTCCATTATTCTTGACTTGTTCTGGGTGGTACAGCGGACCGACCCACATGGCATGGAAATGGCCAGACAGAACAGGGATTTTACTGCAATATGGGTGAGGAGAAGATCTTATCCGAAGGGCAATGTACAGGAAAGATACTTGAAAGACTCTAGGATCTAGCTCTAGCTACTCGGATGACTGACATCAGCGATTCGTAGACGATGCAAAGCAATCAAAATAATGAAGATGGGGTCTGAACTCTGATGGCTGGTGTTGTTTTTAATTCGAGCTCCTCCATGGCTTTTACACTAGGCCTCC